GTAGGTTAAGTGGCAAGCAGCAAAAGCTAAGGAAATACCCGATCGACCTGCTCTAGCGTGTGGTGTATTTAAGGTTTTTAAGCAGAGATTTTACAGGACCTTATAAACATAGTCCTGTCAAACCTCTTGCTTCGCCGTGTATTCTCTTCAGAGTTTTGGTCGAGCCTCTGGGGCATTTTTTCCCCTGACTTCGTGGTCTTTTGCTTTCCGTACACCTGGCTCAAGCTGCAGCACATCAACCCTGAGCCTGACTGGCTGCTCCTCCTGTTTGCTTTCTCGGTTCTCATTAATGCTTAACTAGACGGTTTTCAGTAGATGCGATTGCTGTGATGACTTACAGCGTGTTACTGCTTGACCCAGCACAGGAATGGAAGTGTCCACTGCAAATTCGAAACTAAAATAAAATGAAGCCCGTGCTGAGCACCTTGACAAGGTGAACCCAGCCACGCAGCGGTCCTCAGAATGAATTTCCTGTCCTGTCGACTACAGTCAGCTTTATAGCGTTCAGGCAAGGCTTCTTTTGAATGAATCGCTTCAGTCTGTTCCGTTCAGTGGTGTTTAATGCTGATTTTGCGTTGGTTTCAAGGACTCGGTGGCTAATTCCGCATGGTGGGTGTAGAATGCTGCATGCTGAAAGGGAATGTTGATTAGCAAAAGCATTCGTGTGGCACGGCGCCAGTTTTTGCTGTATCATCCTGAAACTCCTGCTTACAGCAAAGATCTCATTATTTTGTCAAAACCAAGCAAATAGCATCCAAATACTATTAATCTTAATGAAAGCCTACTATGCAGCCAGGCAATTAGCCAGACACATGGAGGACAAACTAAGACCTCAGAAAGCAGCGGTTTCTTTTAAGTGCACTTCATATTTGCTCAGTTTATAGAATGGAGGGACCTTATGCAAAAAACCTGCAAGATGCCGTTTCAAAGCGTGTCGTGGGCTACATGAGCACGGTTCCCCATAAAACCTGCTTCCAGAGTCCTGCGTTGCAGCATATGGCCACGACTCGCCTTGTGGAAAAAGAAAAGCCCCCGAGCCTGGAAGGGGGCTACGTGTCTCTGCTCATGCCTATGCCTGAGTGGCGCTGAGCTGCGTTCCTGAACAGTACAAATGGCAGATACAAATAAGCGTGCCTTGCGCTTCGTACGAAGGATTTCATCTCCCTGGTAGGTGCTTCCTCCATCTTGCAGCAGGGCTTCAGAATTCTCCTCTTCTAGGAGCAGCTGCCCAGGAGTGCCGGGCTGCCTGCAGGCTCTGTCTTTGACACCCTGGGCTTGGTGTGCCTGGGCTTGGTGTGCCTGCCGGGCGCTTCGGTGCGGCCGGCGCTCCCTGACCCAGCTTTGGCATCCCATCTCGCAAGCCCCTTACCGCTCGGCCAGGGATCAGCACAGCGTTTTGGTACCACAGCAGATGGAAGGTGTTAAGCATGCAAGAGAGAGTTCTCTGCCGTAGTCCATGTTGTGCATCAAATCTGTCTGGCAAGTATTCATCTGTTCTAGGAAGTCTTGGTTCCTGGATTGCTCCCTCATACATCGTTTCCATTCCTGAATTTAGTCATCTTTTTCTGAGCCAGAGTAATTCATGGTTTTGGGGGCTCTTGCTGCCTTCTCCTTGAGACTACTTTTTTTCTCTCTCTCTCTCTCTCTTTACAGGTAGGATTTAGACCTCGTTGCTTTAACAAAAACTTTTGTGTGGGCTCCTTAATGCCTGCATTAACCTACTAGTCAGGTAGAATTACTTAGAATTGAACAAATGTAGTTCTCAAGGTGACTTGATTTCTTTTTTCTATGTACAAAAGTCTCTGTTCAAATTGAGAAGGTGTTTCTGATAGCTCAGTACTTCATGTAGCGCTCAGTGTAGTGTGTCCCTAAAAATGGGGATATGCTAAGAGCAATGTTTTTCCGAAATATTTGAAGCTGTTAATTGTAAATGTGGGACAGGTTGCTGCTGTTGATGTGTGGAGGAATTGCTCCTGAGTCTGTATGTTTGACATAGCACAAAAACCAGGACAGCAGTACAGTTTGCATGCATCCTAGGGATTTTCTGAGAGCCGGGCTATCCAGCAAGGCGGACAGCAGTACAGTTTGCATGCATCCTAGGGATTCTCGTTTGTCGGCATGTTTTCTGAGAGCCGGGCTATCCAGCAAGGCATTGGCAAGATTCTCACTCCCCTAAATAGTTCTCTCAGGACAGAGATATTGTTTGGATCTAACACAGTTGTAGTGGTCACACAAATCACCCTTGGGTAAAACCCCACGGTGTCCCAGTTCTAACTGCCCGCTAGGAGCAGCCTGTCCTGGTTGCCCTGTCGGGGTTGCCCTGGAAGCGGCAGCACATCAGCCTGGGCAGCTGGGTGTTGCATTGTACCTGGTTTTACAGAGTTCTTGTGCATGGCCCTTGGCAATTCAGTCAGTAAGTGAGGTATTTTCTTGGCTTATGCTTGGAATTTGCACCTTCTAACCATTTATCAGACTTGGAGGACTTGCCAGCTGCATTCCTCTTCTTGATTTCTGTCCTATCATTAGTAAGAATTACTGCAGCAAAAAAAAAAATCTGCCAATATTCACTCTTGACAGAGTTTGGC